ACCAAATCAACAGGGATGTCACGCCCCAGACCCCAACGGGCTCGCGACACCCCTTCAACGGTCGTATTGAACGCGACGTCCCAGGACGCGTCGCCGACCCAAACGAAACACCCAACGATAAAGGCAAGCGGAAGCGAATTTAAAACAACCCAGACAATAAAATATGACAAAGGGATAGCACAAAACAATAATTCCAAATACACAACATCAAAAGAGAATAGTGGTGGGGTATCCTACTTCGCTATACAAAAGAGGGGCACACAAAATATGAGGTAACTTGACCCGTCCTCCATCCCCGAGATACCCTGGTGGCGTCTCCAATCAATCACGGTCGCAGATCTGAAAATGGTTATATAATAACCGTGAGAACGAGTCTCAATAAGCAATCCCTTATACCCCCACATAGGCCAATGCGTACCCAGACAAGTTGTAACATGCAATCTAACCGATAACTTATATATAATTCACATCAATGGACTTACCTCGCCATCCAATCACATGCCCACACCGTACATTAGTCAAATCACATTAGTGCGTCCAGAGAGCTCATATTCGAGATCACACAAGGAAATTTTCCATGCATCATACAATAACACTCGCGCGTGTCTCGATTATAAGGTAAAACCACTTGGGCACGTCCCATACCATGCCTAGCAGTATTCACCTCATAATCAAACACTATGCAACATGCGTGGTCCAGCCAACTTTCTCACGACCTCCCGGTCCTTTCACACTGCCCGCGCCACTGCGCCTCGGGGCCCATTCTCACGACCCGCGCCATCGCGCTTCGGGTCGCCCTCGATCAAGCCGGGCTCCGTCCCTCACTGGACATTTCACATTTTCCCACGACCCGCGCTACTGCGCCTCAGGTCAGCCCTCAGATCAAGCCGGGCTTCGTCCCGCGTAACCACGCCTCAGGACATTTTTCCCTTTCCAATGACCCGCGTAACCTACGCCTCAGGTCTAACTCACCTTTCACAGCCCGCGTAAACATGCCTCAGGCTCAGCCCTCCGATCGATCCGGGCTTTTTTCATGCACATGCACCACAATACAAAATTCACCATGCTCTTAGTCATATAAATCAATTTCAATCACCACCCTTTTACCAATGTCAATCTAGCACGCCACATCAGTCAACTCAATTCATGCTCCCCACATCGGCCCACCGACCCAACATTCAAGTCAACACATTCAATTTATTCCAATTCACCCACAAGCGCCACGACAATTCAGTCATTCTATTTACCTTAGTCAATCACTAAATTAGCCACACAATTATCACCACAATAATTCATAAATCGGGCACACTCAATCTAATTAGCCCACGCCTAAATTAATTCCTAACCCGATACTAATCACATCCTAAACAAGTCTAAAAATACCCAAAGTACTAGATATGGTTTAGGAAGTCACTTACCTAAGTTTGGCCCGGGAGAAGTTGGTTCGGGCTTAAAATGGCCAGGATGAACAGTACCGAACAAGGCGTGGGCACAGGCTAACGGGCGCGCTGGCCGGCCAAAGTGGGCACAATGGCCGATCGGCATGCTTGGCTCGCGGGCGCGGCGGACGTGCGGCGTGCCCGGGGCGCACGAGCGAGCGGATGGGCGACGCGCCGGCCGAACGGGCAACGCGCCCGGGCGACGGGCACGGCGACGGGCGCGCGGCTTGGTCGCGTGGGCGACAAGCCGGCCACGGCCCTGGGCTGGCTGGCCGGGGCAAAGAACCGGTGGTGGCGGCGACGCGGCGGTGACGACGACGGCGACAATGACGCGGCGGCGGCCGAGCTGGGACAGGAGAAAAAGAGTGAACCGGGGGTGAGGGTGAGGGAGAGAGAGGGATCGAGGCCGAGGGGGAGAGATGGCGGACCGGCGGCGACGAGGCAAGACGGCGGCGAGCCGGGCGGCGGAGCGGGCCGCCGAGCGTCGGCAACAAGGACGGGCCGGGCCCGCGGCGGTCGCGGGGGCGAGCTCACGGCTCGCGCAAACAGGGGGAGGGGGACAGGACAGCCGGTCGGGGCGATGGCCGACGGACGGCGGCGACCGGGACGATGGCGGCGATGGCCAAGCGCGGCCGGGCAGCCAGCCGGCGCGACGGGCAAAGGGCGTGAGTTCGGTTGCGCGCGAGGGAGGAGAAGAGGAAGGTCGTGGCGGCGGGGGCGGACGACGGCGCGGCGTGGCGCGGCGGTCGAGCCGGCCGGCGACGGCGCGGTGCAGCTAGCGCGACAGCGGGACGGCGTCGGGCGGAGCGGAGTCCAGACGCGGCTCGTCGAGGAGGAAGAAGACCGAAGCAGAAAAAGAAAGGAAGAAGAAAGAGAAGAAGAAGGAAGAAGACGAGAGAGAGGAGAGAGGGCGTCAGAGGAGGGGAGAGGAATGGGCGTGAGTGGACTTCTGCATGAGGGGTTGCGTGCGGTCAGAGAGGAGAGAAGAGAAAGGAGAGAGAGAGAGAGAGAGAGAGAACGTGCGCGCGGAGGAGAGAGGAGAGAGGAGAGAGAAAAATAATAAAAAAATTAACTTCAATCAAATATTAAATGTGATCCGATGACCCAAATTCAAAATCGAAAGCGATCTACCGGTCCAAAATAAGCCTCGCATATAAAAAGGGACAAAAGCCGAATTAATTAAATCAAACTATAGCGAGGGAGGTCTACTAGTCCAAATTCGCACCCGGTCAAAAACTCCCATTTTTCCATTATTCCTGACAATCTCAACGCTGGCTACGATAATATTGACACCGTCCAATTTATTTCGTCCTGAAACTCCCAAAAATCGACTGCCAAGTTCGGGGTCTAAATAACGGCCAGATTTGATCGAGTGCGATTCTAGCGAAATCTCTAATTTAAAATGATAACCGGGAGTGATCAGTTCCCGGGCGAGATTTTACTATAAGCACACTGACAAATTACGCGTTTTATAAAACCCAAAAATGGGCCGAAATTCGGGATGTCACAAATTTAGTCCTAAACCTTTCAATTTTATCATAAACCTTTTAAAAAGTTGCTAGTTTAGTCCTAAACCTTTCAATTATGCCAATTTAGTCAAAAACTTATTTAACTATTTGCCAATTTAGTCATAAACCGTTTAACGAATTGCTAATTTAGTCATTCTAACTAATTTTGATCAAAAATCGATGACGTGACGCTGACATGGATAATTTTTTATTTTTTATTGATTATTTTATTTTTTAAAAGTTATCAATTCAGTCTTAAACCTTTTAATTGTATCAATTTAGTCTTAAACTTATTGACTATTTGCCAATTTAGTCATAAACCTTTTAACGAATTGCTAATTTAATCATTCCGGCTAATTTTGGTGGAAATCGCTAACGTGGATAATTTTTTTTGTTTTTTTTAAATTCGAACTTTTTATTGATTATTTTATTTTTATTTTAATTTTGGCCAGTGACCCCTGCCGGCCCCTGGGCGAGGGCGTCGCAAGCCCTCGCTGGACCAACGAGGGCATTGCCAACCCTCGATGGGCCAGCGAGGGCATTGCCAACCCTCGCCAACCACAGCAAGGGCGAGCGAGGGTTGCGATGCCCTCACTGTGGTCGGAGAGGGCTCACGATGCCCTCGCTCAGATCTGGCGAGGGCCGCGACGCCCTTGCCTATGGATGCTAAGGGCTTTGTAGCCCTCACCTTGGGGTCAACGAGGGTCGTCGGCCCTTGCCCAATGGCCGACCACCTCCGCCAGCCCTTGGTCGGTGAGTTGCTAGCTCAACCAAGAAGAAAGGAAAACAAAAAAAAAGAAAGAAAAAGAAAAGAAAAGAATAAAAATAAAATAATCAATAAAAAATAGATTTTTTTAAAAAAAATTATCCACTTCAACACCATGTAGGACGGCCGGCGCCGACTAGACCGCCACGTCAGCAATTTCCGATCAAAATTAGCCGAAAAGACTAAATTGGCAATTCGTTAAAAGGTTTAGAACTAAATTGGCAAATAGTCAATAGGTTTATGACTAAATTGGCACAATTAAAAGGTTTAGAATTGAATTGACAAAATTGAGAGGTTTGGGACTAAATTAGCCGCCGTACAATAGGTTTAGGATTTTTTGGACAATTTTCCCGAAAGATAATCATGATCATAATTTCATTCAGCTGGTTTTACTCCCGATAACCAAACAAGCCCTTTAATGATATGAAACTCTTTGCATCAGTGTAAATTTTGAAATGCTAAACAAACCGATACCATAATTGTCAAAGATATCCAAGATCTTTGTATTTCTACTATAATTTGAAAGCTTGGGAGGAACATCGAGGACCAAATTTTTCATTAAACCAGCCATATTTTATGGTGTCGCGACTCTCTCTCTCTCTCTCTCTCTCTCTCTCTCTGCCCACAGGCCAGTGAAAACCTACCCAATAGTTCCATCTCCGTATGGAATTTCATAAACCATTGACCTAAAACGCCGGTTCCACCATGTCCTCCTAGGCTGCTACATAATGCTGAAGCTTCTTCCCTTATAACAGGCGAGAAGCTGCTGATAATTACATATTTATTCTTGTCCCCCCAGCACAAACCAATGAGATCTTCCAGTCACCAACTTTCATTCAGATTTTATCCGTTCTGAATTCCCTGTAGCCGCAAGCCAAACTTAACCCGGCAAGCTCTTCCTTTCATAGAACACCTTTCCCTCACAGGCTCCACGCACAATTACCACTCTGAACCTGGACACTAGAATTCCCTGCTCTCCATTCACTCTCTCCACTCACATTTATTCATGGAGTTGAATTACAAACGATTCTGCCAAAAACAGCGGGCACTCGGAAATGATTGGATTGGGATAAGCCATATTAGGTTAAGGGTGAGAAGTGGACCTAGGATCAATAGAATTGTGCATTGATGTGCCGTACCAATGCAAAATGCTCAAGCTGAACAAAGGTTACCTAAAACAACCTATTTGCGATCTTAAACCAAGATGAAGTCAGTTGCCAAAATCAATGACCACTTACAATCATTACAAGATCATTTCTAACCAGCTCGCCCTCTCAGCCATCCGTGTTTTGATATAAATGTCACTTTTGGTAGTTATTGTGAGGATGCTTTCATTTGAGTAGAGGGGCATCCATGTCATCTCGGGTGTGTCATACGCATTACATCAGCAAGAAAACAATTGAAATGTTCTCAATACAAATGTGAGTCCCAGGACAATGGAACCGATAATTTCGAGTTCTCCAACTGTAATAAACTCATGCATTCTGGGCAAGTTTAAAGACTAAAATCTGTATAGTGTTGCCTCTCAGATTAATCTGAACCCAAGAAACAACATCATTCCATGAAGAAGAGTCTGTATGAAACATACAAGGCTCATGAGTCTTTCTCCACGGGTGATGAGTAAAAGATCATTGGAAAATAGGTGCATTTCTTAACTACCCACTGAGCTTGAGCAAAAGAGGTGCACTTCTTACAGTCAAATGAATTGTAAATTTGGGAACTATAGACACCTGTTTATGATGAGAAACCTCAGGAGAAAATTATTACCTCGACTGAGCATGTCTCGCACTAAACGCAATATTTGTATCTACGTCTCCTGCATGACATGCCAGACAACCAGCTGTATGGGGGGTTCGTTCACATGTGAGAGCTACCAACTGTGCCCCTGATATTGTGCTTTTGTATACCGTCTAAGAATTGGAGATGCCTTTGAGACAAGAAAATTCCTTGCAGTGCCTCCAGATTTTCCAGATATCTTTGGAGTTAGATCATTCCAAATTTACAGGAAACGACTAAGTCGCCAGTTGACTGAGAGACTGGACAGAAAGATGGATTGGTGAGGGAGAGAAGAATATGAAGGATCTGATGACCTGTGAGGTCATGCAAGGGTGCTTGTTCATGGCACATGGTTTGATAGATAAAAGGACTCAAAAAACTTTTGGTGCCAGATTTCAAATTGCAGCTCCAGCAATTTTGGCGCCAGTTTGCCAACTCAATTCTCAGTGGACTTCAATGATGTCGCCCTCCACAGCTGTATGGTTTTGATTGTGTCTGAAGAGCCATGTAAATTAATGAATGTCCACTCCAGGAGCACGGGACATCAACTGTTTATTGAACGTTCCATCACGAGCTTTGATGCATCCTGTACTTGCTGTGTGCTTTCTGCCTCGCATTCACTAACATGCAGCACTTCCAAGGAGGTTAACTCCATGAGCCCTTCAATATCAGAAATCATCCTGCATCTTTGGACTACTAGGACATTCAACATCTTCAAGTTTGATATATCGGGCAATCCACCAAGCGAATCACAGTCTGACAAAATCAAACTTCGTAAATTTGTTAATTGGCCAAGCCCATTGAGATTACGTATTTCACAGTGTGATATATTCAAGATTTCCAGGGCAATTAGTCCTCCAAGCCCCTTAACCTTTTCTACTGCAGATTGGGTAATATTTAGTTCTGATAGTTTGCTCAGATGGTGAACTGCTGTCAATTGTCTCAAAGACGAACAATGTCGAATAGATAAAACAGACAACGACGAGGGAAGTTCCAGCACATTTTCAAGATTCACACCAGATAGAACTAGCTTCTTAAGATGTGTACATGACGCGGAACCATGCCTAAGTTGCACTTCTTCTTCTTTTCGGTCAATCCCAAGATGCAGTTCACTGACTCGAGAATAAGACAACTCTAACATCTTCAGTTTCGGAAGTACTATGCACACAACTAAGAAATCACTCGATCTGGATTTTGGCTCCATCCGTGTTAAGGGACATATGAGCTCCATAGGATCTTTATCACTCAGACATATCTCCTCCAACTTCACTAAATCCTTAAGATCTGGCAAGGCCTCCATCCTTTCAGAACTCACACGTAGACAAGTTAAACTGGAGGGAAGCTCTGGCAGCACTTGAATCTCGTTGCACCGAAGTAAATCAAGAGTCTGAAGACAAGAAAGACTTTCAATTTCCGAAGGAATGCCAGAAATACTGGAATGTCCCAATCTCAGTATCCTCAGACGATCTAGACTCTTAATAGCAGTTGGAATGGCTCCCTTCAAACTCCTACAATGGGAAGCATGTAACTCTTCAAGGTTGACCAAATTTCCAATTTCTCTAGGCAATTCCCTAATGAAGCAAGAATCCATCTTTAACACTTTTAAACGCCCCAAGCAAGTAATTGAATTGGGCAATTCAGATATGCCTGTCCCTGTTATATCCAACTCCTCTAATGAGTTTCTTAAATTGCAAATTGAATCCGGAAGTCTTCCTATCCAACGACAATCCTTTAGAGACAGGATCCGAAGTTTCCCCAGCTTTTCAACTGAGGCAGGGATTCGAGTAATTTTTGCATTTTCCAGTGAGAGTACTGAAAGAGCTGTCAAGCCACGAACTGAATCAGGCAGGTGACTTAATTGGAGACAGTTGGAAGCACTAAAAATCTCAAGTTTCTCCATGTAACCCATTGACATAGGAATTTCTTGTACCGAAGTCCCATCAATAAGGAGCTCCTTAAGAGCTTTCATGTGACCCAGATCAATTGGCAACATATTGAGTTCATCGCAGAACCTCAAATTTAAGGTAGTTAAGCATCTTAGATGACGGATGGAAGGATCTAACTTCATTAGTCGAGAACATCGTTCGAGAATCAATATCTCCAAGTCTGGGAAAGAGGACAAGTCGGGGCTTATCAATAGGTCAGCACAACCAGCAAGATTCAAGACTTTCAACTGCGGCATCTGCAAAAATAGCACAGAAACATTAAATTGTACACTGAACAAATCTTTAGAGGAAATTAAGTCCAAGGCTCTGTTTGTTTTGAAGAAAAACAATTTCTGAAAATATGTTTTCCATTCTTACAATCCTGGCATAGTTTAGGAAGATTTCGGATGGAAAATGCTTTCATAGTCAAAGAAGATGCTTATCTAGATTCTAAAGAATGACTTACCCTTTCGACAACCAGGAAATCATTCCCCTTAACTCACTCAACCTAGGAATTCCACCACCACCATCATCCACACACCCTCTAATTGTTGTTGGCAGGCAACCAATTATTTCCTTAAGTATTTCAAGAGTAACATTCAGTTCTATACATGCCATATGCCGGAAAGTGTCACGTCTTAAATCAGTCTACATAAAAAGCTTTCTGGTGAAAACTTACTCATCAGGGAAACAGTTTCATGAAGTAAACAAAGCTTAATCTACCTTGATTTTTCTCCAACCTCCCCAGTCTTCAGTGACTTTGCTCCATGAAAGATCAAGAATGACTAATTTTTCGACATGAAAATTAGTAGCTTCAAAATCTCTGGTGCATCCTTGCCATTTAAGCCACTTCAAATTTGGAAAAACATTGGCAAAATCACCAACAACTTTTGCACAATCCAAGATAAGAAACCTTATGTTCGGCATGCTCTTAAAATCTCTCGCATCAAAGTTGAGGTGGTCTGTCCCCTATAATGGAAAAAGTATTAAGTGGAGAAAAAATGAGCAAGAGCTAAATAAGTCAATGTTAAAGAGAAAGGACAATTTCTCTACACTCCAAGGCTCGAGAACAGGGTAAGGCACACATTCCGCTATAGAATTACACAAGATACTGTACCTCCATCTTCTCTGTTTTCCAGGCCAATTCCAAATTGCATAACCTGCCTCGCGTTCCTGGATCTAGATCATCCTCTTTTCGTATGATTTGTTGGCCAAACTCCCTTAACAGCCTGTGCATCCCTAGTTCACGATTTTTTCCAATTTTTACCAGGGACATGACATGGAGCACATCAACTCCATCGCAGGGGCGAAAATTGGGATTATGCCACATAAATGAAGCAATTCGACCATCCACATCAGCAGGGAGGCATGCAATATCAAGAAATATCTCTCTTTGCTCTTTGCTCAATTCTTTGTAACTAACCATCAAAATCTTTTCAATATCCTGGCCAGATTGCAAAATTAGCTTCCCAAGTGCAGCCCGTTCTTCTCTTCTTTTTCCGTACCAGAGTGAACCAATTACGTCAACAAGTAATGGGATCCCATTCACAGAGTTCATTATACCGTTTGGAATTTCATCAAGATATAGAATTGAAAATTCTCTTGGCAGTGCATGCTTTCTCAAAAGCTCAAGAGCTTGATCATTATTCATCACGTTGATACCGTAAACATGAGCCAACCCTCGAGGTATGAATTCTGGAAGAACAGATTTGATACTAGTGGTGACAATTATCCTAGATCCATAACCAAACCAATCAAGCTTCTCTCCAACAATTTCGTGGAGATGCGACTGTACCTCCACATCATCAAGAACAATTAGGACTTTCATATTCCGCAATATTCCTTTAAAAAAGTCGATTCCTTTCGCAACTTGATCAACCTCGTATTCTCGGTTTAGGATATCAGACATCAACTTGCTTTGCAAACGCCGAACACCTCCAAGTTGTTTCGCTGTTGCCCCAATATCTGCAAGGAAACTACAACTGTCGAAACGAGAGGAAATTTGCTCATAAATGACCTTGGCAAGAGTCGTCTTGCCGACCCCACCCTCCCCCCAGATTCCAACTATTCGTACATCACTGACTTCTAAATCAAGTAAGTCCATCATGTCCTCCACTTGTTTGTCAATTCCCACTAGTTCTTTTTTTTTATCTTTCCTTAGAACCACCTACAAGAGCAAATAAATTGTAAACAAGCAAGCTGCTCCGGGAAATGAAAAAGTGTAACAATTGGATTTAGTTTTCCTTTTATTTCTTGCTGCGCCTCAGAAACAACACAGAAAACCCACCAATCATATCCAAGTAACTGATCCCACCTATGTTGATACAACACTTCGACTGCTCAACAAGTTAGGATATATCATTAATTGGAAGGCAATCAACCTTCGGATGATTATACTCCATTTGCAATAATGTCCCAATCTCTCTAGAGATACAAAAATCATAAAAAATGATGGCTCATTACTTCCATAACTGGACCTCTAAGGTGAGGTCGTTTGCCATTCCATGCCATGCACACTACTATATATAAGGCTAGCACGTATAGTCTTACATCTCATACTTAAGGTGAACTCTACCAACGAAATATAATCGAGCAGTTTCTGTTATCAACTACTACTGATAAGTAGACAGCGAGAGTCACATATGAGTTTATTCACATGCACACGGTTTACCTTCAGCTGGACCGTGATTACTTCAAGGTGTTCTCTGATGTCAGTCGAGCTGCCACAGAAGTAAACTGTTTTAGTTAGAAAAGAAAGGGCACGAGTTGAACATTTGGGATGATATTATATGACAAAGCAATAACCACTCCTATTGAACTGCGAAACAACTATTTGAAGTTTATTCCTACTGAAAGCGCAACATCAAAAAACGAAGTGATCAGTTGTTTCCACTGGAGTTTAGCGTTGCTATACTAGAAAACGATTTATGAGTTGCAAACCCTCCTGCAATAAAGTCTCGGCCTTTTACCTCATAAATCTCATTTCCCATCCAGGTAATGAAGCAACCTGTTTAAGAGCATCTTCCCACGCGCTTACTTCCTTGGACCCGTATCTCTTCTCGAGCATCGATAGGGCGTCGCGGTACAGAGGGGTTTCAAGCCTAACATCACGAGGTTCCACGTCGTAGAATATGGGGAATATCGTTTTCCCACCACCCGATTTGGCCTTGCTTTCCACCATTGCCGCAAGCTCCCGGAGACACCCCGCGCTGTAAGCGTAGTATTTGGAGAAGATCGGGATGCAGATCTTGGCCCCGTCGATAGCTCTCAGAATCTCCTGGCCAATTTCTTCACCGAGTCCAAATTCATCGGCGTTTCTGAAGACGCGGATCCCGGCATCAACCGAGCTCCAGTACAGGGATTCGGCGAAAAAATAGCCAACGCCGACTCCACTGAAACTCAGGAACACATCGTGGCAGTCGGTATCCGAGGCGGCGGCGTCTCCGCCCATCGCTGCAGCATCATCTGCTGAGTACTTCCCCTTCTTCTTCATTGCAAGGATCAGAACGAGGAGGATGACAAGCGCGCTCTGGGATTTGCCCTGATCGCCTCTCTGTTTTTTTGCAAAGTCCAAATCTTTGTAATCGAATCCTCGATCTACAACATATTATAGGACAAAACTTATTGCTTCTATCAAAATAAAAAAAGAGGGAATCTGGAGAAATAGAAAGGAATAGGCCAAGTGAAAGAGAGAGAGAGAGAGACAGGGAGGAAGCAACTTTGGTGGAACGCTTGGAAGCTGTAGTCGCGGCCTCAGCAGTGCCGCCGCCGCCGGCCAAGATCTCGGCGTCGTCACAGTCGCCTCCGTCATCGCAAGCACACACACTCTCTCTATCTCTTTGCTGTGCTCAAATTTAGCACTGTATGGATCATGTCGAATCACTCTCTCTCTCTAATTAAATAAATCATTCTTGTTCGCTCAGAATATTCAAGATGATATTCGACGTATATCAAAATCCTCCTTTATCTCACAAAATCTGTGAATGTATAATAAACAGGAAACGGGGGACATTAGCATTAACCCAAGATTCTACAAGTTTTGAAGAGCTTCTTTCTTTTTTTTTTTTAATGGTACTCTTAGCTTTCATTGACTAAATGTAAAAATGCAGGTTGGCAACATTTTTCAACAGTAAATCTCTCGTTGGCGATGCATTCTAAAATAGAGTTTGTAGGAAAAACTTAATCGTTGGTTATGTCTTGAGTTGCCCCATAAAACACTCCATAAGTTCTTGATCCATAGCCTTCTTTTAGGAAAAAATGACATAAATTGTCCATAAACTTTAACCCAATGTATAATATCATCCCTAAATTTTTAACTTGTTCAATGCGGTCCCTAACTTTTGGTAAATGTTCGATCTAATCCATATATTATACAAAAACATCTAATTTTATCCTTCCATTAATTCAAGTTAACGGAATTTGCGCATTTGGTTTCCAATCTAATCCATATATTATACAAAAACATCTAATTTTATCCTTCCATTAATTCAAGTTAACGGAATTTGCTCATTTGGTTTCTAATCCGACAGGTTCGAATGGTGGGCCAAAAAATAATGTTACACACGAATTATCAACATAAGATATTCAACTCCAATCAAGATATAATAATCTATGCCATCAAATTGAACAAATTAAAAAGATTATTATATTCTAATTTAAGTTGATTATCTTACGTGAATAATCACGTGTGACTTTTTTTTTTTTACGGTTCAAACATACCAGATTAAAAGCCAAATCAGTAAATTCCGTGAACTTGAATTAATGAAAGGATAAAATTGGATGTTTTCATAAACTTTAGGGACTAGATTGAACGTTTATTAAAAAAATGGGATCGCATTGAACAAATTAAAAGCTAAAGGAAGATATTGTATATTAAACTAAAGTTAAAGGACCACATTGAATAAATTAAAAGTTTAGGGATGAAATTGCACGTTGGGTCAAAGTTAATTAATCATTTATGTCATTTTCCCCACTTTTTACACCGGATCTTCCTATTCGATTCAAGGGCCAAATTTGGCTATCTTCAATTGCATTCGAACTTAAAGGAATTGCCAAAATCTTGTGGGCAACGTGTTCAGGAAAATGCTCAGAGATAGCATCATAACTTTCCAACTTCCCCAATGGACTCCATTTATGCCTTCTGCGGAGGACCACTAGTAGTTCGCGATCTTCTTTTCAATCATTCCACAGACAGATATTGGTATTTTGAAACAAAACACAGCTTAACATGGGATGGCACTCCTAAATATCCTCCTGCACCTTGTAAAAGCGGTACTCCGAGAGTTTCTGCAACATTTATCTGATGACTCTCTGGACAAGCCTTACTCAAGGGAACCCCGGATTTGTTTAGGTTAGTTGCTTGTGCAGACGCATGACAATATTGATTCAAAATGTTCAACAGCTCCTAACATTCTCCGATAGATCTCTCCAGGAAGAATATCAGGTCTTCAGCAAACAATAAGTGGGGCAAAACAGGGCATTCCGAGGTCAATCTTATTCCTTTGAGCTAGCCTATGATTAAGATTGATAGGGATTCTGCAACTAGGATAAACAGATGAGTAGAGAATGGATCTTCTTGTCATGAACCTCGCAACGTATGAAATACGGGAGTAGTTCTCCATTGAACTTGTTGCCGAAAGAAACGGTAGAACCAGTCACGCAATGTGTGATCCAGTGGAAACATACATAGCAGAATCCTAGCTTCATCCAATAAGCCCTTAAAAAGGCCGACTCCACCCAACCATAGATCTCATGTCTAATTTGAGCATAGCAATAAATTTCATCTTCCTTCACCTTCTTCCTAAATGGTGCAACACTTCATGCACAACAAAAAATTATTTTGAATTTCACACCTGGGAACAAAGGCGCCTTACACCAGAGAAATCAATTGAGGCATTAATGTTTTTTAATCAGTCAGCTAATACTTTTGCTATCACTTTAAAAGCAAAATTGCAGAGGCTAATTTGGCAATATTGAGTTATACATTCCACGGTGGCACTATGAGAACTAATGTAATCTAGGGTTGGTTCAATCTGAGATATCAAACTGCCCATATGAAAATAACTCGTCTCCCGATTTCTTTGGTAGAACAATCCATTCATTCCGTCGGGTGCTTTTGTCGCTCCCATCCCAATTATCTCATCTCTTCCATCAACAGAGGTCTAATGAGTCCAGCGTTCATCTCAAATGAACCACCCGAGGGCATTGATCTATAATCGTGTCGAAATTTCTGTACTCCTATGTTGAGAGCAAATCACTGAAGAACTTGGTTATTATTTCTTTTAGTCTTCCTGGCATAGCACACCAAGTCCCTTCAGTGACTTGTGATTGAGAAATCTTATTCCGTTGACGTCTTTAGATAGCTCAAGCATGGAAGAATTTGCTATAGTGATCACTCAATTTCAGCTATCAAATCCTAGACCTCAAATGCCAATACTGCTCCTCTTGCCTCTAAAGCTTGTCGAATCTTGCTTAAATAGATTTCGGTCTCTCCCTATCAAGCTGGTCTGCTCTGTTGCTTACCAACTGAGTAAGCTATTACTGTAAGCTTACAACCTCCTTCCTAGCATTCTTGAACTTCTTCTTACTCCAGGATGTCAGTGCCGAGGAGACTCTGTTAATTTATCACAGATGTCATTTGAAGAATCGGTAGTATCACTCTATTTCTTTGTTATTTAACCTGGACACTCATCTTGTTCCTGCCATAACTCTTCAAACTGAAACTCCTCTTCCCTCCCGGGTGATTCAATAGAGCAAGTCAAGGTTAGAGGGCTATGATCCAAGCCACAACGGCTTGATCCATTCTTTCTCGAACATTCGCCAACACATCCCTATTATTGGACAGTGTGAAGCAGCATACCTTATTCTCTAGGTCCATTACTGACAACTATACAAGAACTGTCTGAATATTTCCAGACGAAAGTTCTGTGCTTCACTCCTCCCATCCTTCTCCCAATGATATAACACTTCTTTAAAACCTCCTACCATGGCCTAGGCTAGGTCTGAAGGTGCATTTAAATTCTTTAGATGATGCCACAGATGCAAAAGATTCCGGCAATCCATAGGAGCATGAGGTAACGTTAATCTGAATGCAGTTCTTCTGTCATTTATGTCTACCTGCACATCTATATACTAATCATCAAAAGACCGGCTTAAGACTTATTAGGGTTTAGGACTAGGACTAGCCTTGTTATGAGCACTACCCGATGCCAGGACTGGCACCTCCGCATCCATATTTCCATTCCACAACACGCATAGCCCTCCTGGTCCTGGTAATCCTCTCGAGTCACAAATGAACATGTGCTAGGACTAGTGTTCAACCCCCACTAATGAACATTGCACCTCGAAAACCTCCGGTCCGTGACATGTCGAGGTGCAAACCAAAGAGAGAGGAGAGAAAGACGAAATGGAGGGGTATTGGGGGACTAGAATTCGTCATCGTGTTTGTTTGAGATTCTTTGAAATGTGCGAAATTTTTGGAAATGTCAAATTGAAAGAAGCATTGTGATTTTGAATTTGAACCCTTTGAAGCTCGCAGCTATTTGTAGGATGTTCTTGGTTCTGTCTGATTTGCTTTCAAGGTACTTTCAACCCTAATCGAACTATTATAGATTTCGAAAAATCTCAACCCAAACCAAATCACAATTAAAACCAAACCGATAACTTCGGTTCATGATTGATTTGGTTTGTTTCAAATAAATAACATCAGGCCAACACCCAAATAGATTAGTAATATGTTAACTAACCGGTATGCAATATCCCCATCCCTATGAAAATTACTTTAATGATCTCAACATTGAGAGAGCCAAAGAAAAATAAAGATGTTACTAGGGGTATAACCGAGTTGAGTCATATTGTCCAAGCTCGAGCTCAGCTGGACTCATATATTTGATGACTGAAACTCGCCCGACTCGATTACAATCAATTTGCTCGAGCTCAAGCTCGAAAAAGCTTGAATAACATATGTTTATTGTGCACTTTTGATGATACCAATGTCTATTTTTAACTAGTAATTAACGTTTATAACAGAAACTCTATTAGCTCCTGCACCGGTCAAGTTGTGCTCGCGAGCTTGGGAATTGGCGAGCTTGAGTTCAATTCAACAAAATCTTCGAGCAGACAATCGACATAGAACGCCATGCATCTGGGTTCTCCTTCTTTCCCGGTTCATTAGCCGGTCCAACCGTTGAAATCTCCGTATGCCCTTCCTTGAATTTCTTCATCCCTTCAACAGGACCAACACATCCAATAACTGTTAGTTTCTTAACCTTCATGTTAACAGCGCAATTCGATTAAGCTAAATGACAAAAAATTAGAAGAGTAAGTGAGTCTACGTCCATAGGTCACTAGGTTTGCGCCTGCGGGACCTTTGTTTGGGCCAGACATGGTAGTACTAGACGCGATAATGCTTCCAACCCATAATAGCAAATCTTCAGCCCAAGCTAGAGACGAAGTCCAAACTGAAGACGTGTTACGTATTCACTTTCCAAAGAGACGAATCCAATCATATATCCATGTTTGAAATATACGGGTAAAAGTACTAAAAAAGTCATAAACATATTGCATTGATACCAATTCAGTCTTAAACCTTTCAATTGGGCCAATTTAATCCTAAACATTTTGGCATTTATGTCATTGAGTCCATCCAGCTCATTTTGACCAGAAATCGTTAACGTGGATGCCGACCATCCTACGTGACACGGTGAGTTCATTCAAGAGACTCACTCTTTAGGGTTTCATCCTTTATTATCGAACTAGCTTTGCGCAATCTATTATATTTTTCAGAACTCCGAACGTATATTATCAACAGGAAGAAGATATCCAACTTCATTCAAGAGACTCACTCTGCAGGGTTTCATGAAGCAGTCTTCAGCTTAGAGGAGCGATTCTTCTTCACGTACCACCACAATAGAACAGTACATGATAAAGTGAGGTTACTCCTGCATAAGCTAGAGATTGGTACAGTCAGTACATTCATTGACGCAGCTAAATGCAAGTGCCGAAGATCTTCTCGATGAATCATTCGCAATCAAAGGAATCTACTGCTAGTAAGGCTTACTTATGTAGTTATTTCGACCAGGTGGAGCTTCCATGCACATATTCGTCACTCTGTGGATAGCCAAAAGCCAAACTATAGTCACTCAGAAAATTTGAAGGAGTTTGCGCGGCCAAAGGCAGTCATGACAGCCAGTGTTCTTGGCTGTTGCTTGAAGGGAACACGAAAATATTTAAGGCGTCTGTGTGACCAAAGAATACAATGATAGACACGGTAATATTCAAGATGCTCCAATATTTCTCGTGACACAGTAAATATCCATACTTGAAATCCATATCAAACAACATCTTCCAAAGGATACGTGGAAGCACTCTGCATTTCCCCTCTCCTACAAGAAGAGTTCGAGGTTTTTCACTTTATATATAGTTATAGTCTGCATGTAGTGTCCCCGTCAGAGCAGAAGTTTAAGATGGAGGTGGCAAAATAGGTCTAGAACCCACATTACAACTCATATTCAATAATGTGGAACATAAATGGGTTGCCTTAAATTTTAAAAACATACTTAAATGAGTCATATATGGGTTAACTAGGTCTTAAATATGTATTACATAGGTCATAAATGGGTTACCTAAAAACTTAACTGAATTTTATTTTTTAAAAATTTTCTGATTTTTATTTTTTTAAAAATTTTCTGAATTTTGTATAATTTTGTATTTTATATTTTACTTTTTATTTTCTTGTTCTATCCTTTTTTTTTCTTTTCTTTCTTTTTTTTTTCCTTCTTCCTCGGCCAATGGTAGGCCATGGCGACTGGCAGTGAAGCTCGAACCCTTCGGCCTTGGGCAAGCGCGACCTCACCGAATCAGCGAGCTCATCCCTCACCTATGGCTGGTCACCAGCAACCGGCCGAAGAAATGAGTATAAAATGAGTGCACGGAGGAAAATAAAAAAATAAAAATTTTGATTTTTTTTAAAAAAATAAAAATAAAAATTATTAAAATGAGTGCACGGAGGAAAATCAAATCAAATTTTTCATACTAAACGGCGGAAAATATTTTCTAATTCATTTTCAAGTTTCAACCAGACACCGAAAAATATTGTGAAAGAAAATGACTTCAGAAATATCACATTTTCCTCGAAACAAACAAAGACTCAATTTAAAAAAAATTATAAAAATTGTCCACTAAATCTGTATTGCATGAAAGTGTTTTAGTGATATAAATTAAAAAAAAATCATAAGTTAACAAGTTTTCCTAAATTTAGTTAAATATGAAAGTGTTTTAACAATATGGATGGAGTCAAGTCGGGTTGGGTATGGGTCGAAAAATTTACATTCCAAATAAATTGGTCATAAACGGGCTAATAGGTCAATTTGGGTCGGATAATTTATGACCCGACCCGACCCACCCATTTGACAAGTGTAGCTTAAGATGATAAGAAAACCCCATGATGTACTCTAGTTCCAGTTACATCTTGGAGGCTTCCTCCGGAAAATCAGCCACGAATCCCCATTCTCAATAGCGAAGAAAACAGAAAGAGAAAGAAAATGATCATCGTAGAACAGAAGCATGTGGGTTCTTCTCATTATCACATGGCCAAATGTAGTATAATAAGCTTTTATGGTGGACAATCCTTTTTGAGAAACACGAACGAATTATTTTGGCCTGTGGAAGCGTATGACCGTCGCATAATAAGCCTTCAAATAAGAGAGCACGAGCACAGCGGACAATGAAGCAAAACAATGTTTGATGGAAAAATGCAGTGCCTGATGGAAGTTGCAGAATACGGACTCGGGATCGGTGTACTGATTAGAACAGATATGAGACGATGATTACCCATTTGACGCTCGTTGCAACACCCGACACACGGGTAGGGGAAATGCGCTATTATTGCTACTTTAAAGTTACCGACATCGTCCCAGATTGAGAGTCAAACTCTGCAACACTGCAGCTGCAACTCCCCTGTCAATCTTTCAAGCCTCAGCCCAAAAGGGAAGGAGCAGTATGAGACTCCACGCATCCGCACTCGAGTCCCATCGGCTTATCTTCTCCACTTGCATCCCCCGGACTTCAAGGCCACAAATCTCCCATTCAAACAAAAGAGCCAGCCGTCTCTCCTCCTCCACCAAGTATCGTTCTGATATTGAGTATCCATCCCAGCCCACCCGATAAATTGCTAGTAAATCTGTCCCAAACTTCTTCTGAATGACAAAAACAAGCGAACAATAAAGAAATTAAAATGCCAAGAATGTTTCACGATTTCATGCACAAAGCACTGCCAAATTGAATTATCTAATAACATTCTTTTTTTTGTTAGTTTTATGTTGGTTCTGTGATCCAGTTACCGTTTATGCGTTTTCACTAAAAGAATAAAAAAAATATAAGAATTGAGAAATTAGAATCAAAAGCTAGTAGAAGATTTCAAAGCACAAACTTGCCCGTCCAAACCCACAAGGTCGGGCCTTCCAACAGAGAAGTTCCAAGCCCACACGAGGTGGAGAGGTGACGCAGAGAGAAGCGTAAATTTGGAACAACTCCAAAAAACTCGAAATTTTTATTCAATAATACTGTGCTCTTGATTACAAGACGGACATCTTATATATAGAGATAGGACTCCTAATACTAATGGAAACCGAATAATTAAAGAAACTGCCTAAATGGTAATATAGGAAACTGCCTAAATGATAATATAAGAAATTGCCTTACTGGTAATATAGGAAACTGCCTAACTGATAATATAGAAAACTGCCTAAATGATAATATAGGAAACTGCTTGAATGGTTGTTTTCCCCAAAATCAGAAAAACTGCCGAGATTTCCGATGATTACGGCGATCACATTGTTCAAGATAATCACAGGCTAACTGTTCTACATCATTCCCTCCCTCTTCGGAAAAACTCGCCCTCGAGTTATGATCAGGATAGAGGGGTGTATCAGAAGCACGATACTCAAATAAGTCTGCCACATTAAATGTAGGGGAAATGTTGAGATCACCTGGAAGTTCGACTATATAGGCATTGTCGTTGATCTTCTTCAGGATGCGGCAAGGACCAATCTTCTTGTGCTTCAGTTTATTATAGGTACCTACAGGAAAATGCTCCTTTCGTAGGAAAATCATTACCTCATCGTCTACCTCAAAAATTTTCGAACATCGCCGTTTGTCAACATCCTCCTTATACTTTGAATTACTCTTCGGTCTCAAAGTAATTTTAGTCCTTTTCCACACAAAAGAATACGTATTCTCCCTAGCTTGGTGTGTAGCATCAACATCATATTGCCATGGTCGACCCAGTAAAACATGACACGCATCCATCTCCACAACATCACAGACAATAGTATCTTGATATGATTTTCCGATTGAAATAGGCAAACGGCATAATTGGTTTACCTTAAGTTCTGCTCCCTTGCGTATCCACCCGATTGTGTAGGGCGCGGGATGCGGCTCCGTCTTTAGTTGCAAGTGATCCACCAAGGCCTTTGACACTATGTTCTCGCAACTTCCGCTGTCAATAATGATATCGCATACTTTGTTGTTGACAGTACAGCGAGCGCGGAAAAGCTGATTCCGCTGGGTATCTTCTGTCCGCGGAGTAAGCAATAGACGACGCACTACACAATTAACTTGCTCACCCACTTCATCTTCCACTCCCACTTCTTCTTCCTTTTCCCAATCTTCCTCATACACATCTTCGTCATGTTCAACGATATTGGCCATTCTACGACGAGGACAATCGCTGGAACGATGGCCTAACTCGTTACACTTGTAGCACCTGATCGGTTGGGGCTTGGCATATGGATTCTGGGTATTATAATTGGGAGTGCGATTGTTTGTTGCGACTGCTTCCTTAGGCGTCTCACTAGTACCCCCTGGAACTCGGCTCGAATCAGGTGTTTGTTGACTAGAACTTGCAATATCAGGCTGTCTTCCTTTCCCGAATGACCCACGACCCGAATAATTGCTACCACGAGTGCTAAGGCTAGTCCTCTCCAATTGCACCTCAATTTTTCGCGCCATATCCTGGGCGTCTTTGACAGAGAATAGTCGATGCAAAGAAACCCGATCCTGAATATTAAGTCGCAAACCATTAATGTACCTAGCAGTTTGTTGTGCCTCGGACTCATCCAGGTTATTACGAGCGGAGAGTCGAAGGAACTCTTCCGTATAAGCTTGGACCGATCTATTCGATTGTCGGCAATTTTGGAATTGCTGAAATAACAGTTGCTCATAGTCCGTTGGGAGGAACCTCTTCTTCAACTTCTGTTTCATCTGACCCCAAGATCGAATAGGAGCCTTGCCTTGTCGACATCGCGTCAATTGAGTTTGTTCCCACCAAGCTGAAGCGCCACCCTTCAACTTGTACGCCACAAGTTTCACTTGGCGATCCTCGTCAATATCCATAGCGTCGAAGAATTTCTCGACCTCCCAAAGCCAATCAAGGAAATCTTCAATATCCAAATTCCCATTGAAAGTAGGGAGATCTACCTTTAGTTGATATTGCTTAGGATCTCGTCGATATCCTCCCTGATGTCGATTCCCACGAACATGCTCCTCCTGGAGTCCCCTGTATCGGCGACCACCACGAATCTGCATCTCCTGGAAATCATCATCTTCGTCTTCCATATCCTCGACATAGTCTTGACGCCTATGTCGGGGAATTCCTCCACGCCCCATAGCATCTTCGGGATCACGAACGACAGGAATTCGCTCGGCTGGAAGAACGCCAGGCGCATGGTTTGTGGACAAACGCTCGATGGCATCAAGGATCTCTTGAAACCTCCGATCGGTTTGATCCACGAACTGATTGAACTCAGCCCGCGTAATAGGCTCGTTCTCACGGCCCTCAGCAGCGGGGAGATTGACATTCACGTTATTCACCATCGTCACAGGAGAAACCTGCTTTGATACCAAATGACGCAGAGAGAAGCGTAAATTTGGAACAACTCCAAAAAACTCGAAATTTTTATTCAATAATACTGTGCTCTTGATTACAAGACGGACATCTTATATATAGAGATAGGACTCCTAATACTAATGGAAACCGAATAATTAAAGAAACTGCCTAAATGGTAATATAGGAAACTGCCTAAATGATAATATAGGAAACTGCCTTACTGGTAATATAGGAAACTGCCTAACTGATAATATAGGAAACTGCCTAAATGATAATATAGGAAACTGCTTGAATGGTTGTTTTCCCCAAAATCAGAAAAACTGCCGAGATTTCCGATGATTACGGCGATCACATTGTTCAAGATAGTCACAGGCTAACTGTTCTACATCAAGAGGACACTGCACAGAAATTTGACTGCATGCAGCGTCTTAGCCAAAAGAGAAGAAGACCAACTGGTGCATCATGGAGTGTACAGATGTTCAAGTCGAGGAAAGCAAAAAGTAGCAATATTTACCTTCCAGAAAAGCCTCTGACTTGTCATTGAAGATAGACCGAAGATCCGTTGTGCAGCAAGATCTTCACTCATAAGTCGGAATCATTCTTGAAGCATTCCCACAATATTCTGACCCTAGGTGCGAGCAACATAACTGCCGACTATTTGTTCTTCTGGGAAACTATACCCATCGATTTCGAATGTACGATTTGTTCGATCAGGTAATCCGGTCAATGAAGGGCAGTCGTCTAAAGTGAGCCTTCTAAAACGAGGCAAATTTTCCAGCCCATCAAGTGTTCGCACATAGTAGTGGGATATTTTCAGAAGTTCCAACCACCTCAAATTATCAAGACTGACAGTCTCTGCCAGGAGACAGTTTTCGAGTTCTAATTCAGATAGACCTCTCACCGTAGAAAATTGTGAATATTGAATCACACGGCGCTGGAGGCACAATACCGATAAGCTAGAGGGTAGCTCTCCGAGGTCACGCAATTTTGCGTGGTGCAAAACAAGTTTTCTAAGTTGAAGTTTATTAAAATGTTCAGGTGGCTTGGTGATGTTTGAGAGGCACAACTCCAAGATTTCTAGATTCGCTAGTCTTGTTAACCATCCAATTTCTGGTGGCTCAGAGGAAGAATTCTGCATTGGATCAGTTGGATCAAAGTTATCACCCAAGTACAGCTCTTTCAAGTTTCTTAAGAAAGAAAGGTCTGGCACCGTCCGCATTTTTTTGGATCCCCAGCGAAGAATGCTTAAACCAGATGGAAGTCTTTGCAAATCCCAACGTTGGTCACATTCACTTAAATCTAATTGTTGGAGATCAGAGAGCAATGGAAGGGTCCAGGGTAGGCCAGAAATCTTGGTAGATGATAATCTCAAGATTTTCAAAGAGGATAATCCTCTAACATCCCAGATAATCCACCCCTTCAGATTCCAGCATTTTGAAAGATCTATCTCTTCCAGCTTTTCTAGATTTTTTATATCTTTGGGGAATTTTTCTAAGTGTGTATTCTCCATCTTCAGCACTTTCAAATTTTTCAAATGCTTGACAGACCTAGATAAACTAGCAATCTTGGTGCTGGATAGATCCATGACTTCCAGGGACTCAAGATTCCCAATGGAACCAGGAAGCTCAAGTAAATTCTGACAATTTCCTAGAAGCAGGCTCCGAAGTTTCTTTAAGGACTTAATAGATTCTGGTAGGCGTTCAATAGCGGCACCATCCAATCGAAGATGCTCAAGAGATTCCAAGTGACCAATAGAGGGTGATACATGAGCCAAACTTCCACATTGGCAAGCGCTCAGAATCTTAAGTTTCTTCATGGAGGCTAGTTCGAAACCAATCCTCTTAATGGCAGTTCCATCAATCAGAAGTTCTTCCAAATCTTTCATATGACACAGTTCTTGCGGCAAGGCGCTGACGAATGTGCAGAACTTAAGATTTAAGGAGACTAAGTTCTTTAGATTACCTATCAATGGACCAATTTGGGAGAGTGCCGAACAACGCTCCAGGACTAATCTCTCTAAGTACATCGAAGCACGGAAGTCTGGAAAAGCATTCAGGTCACAACAGCTACTGAGGTTCAAAACTTTCAATTCCTTTGCCTCCTGCGAGAAAAGAGGACAGAATAGGCTCAGTTGGTGCTAGCTATCCGAATAATCCCAGGATACATAGACAAATATGCACTTTACCTTCAGGATTCGTTCCCATTCTTGTGAACCTCCAGTGACCTTACTGCGAGATAGATCAAGAATGACCAGTTTCTCTAAATGGAAAATAAGTAGTTCAGAGATGTGGCTGCACCCTTGCCAATCAAGCCACCTTAATTTTGAAAGAACATTCTGAGAACTCCCTGCAATAGTGGCCGGGTCCAATATCTGCAAACGCAAGCGCCCTAGATAGCCGAATACATCCCAAGAACTCCCTCCAACAGTAGCCCTATCCAATCTCAAGAACCTCAAGCACCCTAGATCGCTAAATCTTTCACATCTAAAACATTCACTTTGTCCCCCGTCAAATGTGAGACCAAGGGCTTCCACCCTACTAGGACTCTGCAAATCGAGGGAACTGAATAAGTAGAAAGGGAAATGAAATATAGCCATTCACGCTTCATTTTGGGAAAGAAAATTAAGGAAAGGAAGTATCTTCAAAGATTGTTGACTGTGTTTAAACTAAAAGATCTTATGCTTGAAAAGTATACCTGCTCTCCATTAAACGTGGAAAGTGCATCAATGTGATTCCATAACCTATTTCGGTTTCGAGGCTCGAGGGGATCTTGCGTCCTAACAGTTTCCCTGCCACACTCTCTTAGTTGATTATGCATCAATAATTCATTGTTTTCTCCTATTTTGACTAAACCCATGTTACAGAGAGTCAAGATTCCACTTGGATCATAGTTACGTGCACACCACATGTACGGGGGAATTCTGTGATCCGTTCCAATGAAAAAACATGCTATATCGAGAAATATCTCTTTCGTCTCGTCTTGCAAAGAGTCATAGCTTAACTGGATCACTTTTTGAAATTTATCTTCTGGCCTCCTTCTTAAGGTATCCAATGTATGTTGCCATATTTGTCTTTCCCCCTTATTCTTATGCAAGAATGAAGCTGTTACTTCAATAGCAAATGGAATACCTCCAATAATGCCAACAATGTCGCTGGACAGAGAATCATACTCATCCTCCTCTTCGTGAGTACACTCACGAAAAGCATGCATGCGGAAAAGTTGAAGAGCTTGAGCAGGCCCCATTTCTCCAACCTCATACTTATCAGCCACTCCATCTCGGTAACCATCAAGAACGTCAATTTCTCTAACTGTCATGAGAATCCTGCTTCCTGGTCCGAACCATTTGAATTCCCTAACTAAATGCTTGATTTGGTCAGAACTATACACACCATCAAGGAGAATGAGAACTTTCATTTCCCTAAATGAAGTTTTTATGACGTTAGTCCCTTCGTCAAGAGTTCCTAGCCTTCTACGTTCTTTCCTTCGGAGGTCTGAGATTAACTGTTCTTGGAGGCCCATGATGAGTCCATTGGATGCAGCATTTTCTCCAATAATTGAAAGAAAACTACAACGTTGAAAGAGACGATGGATTTTGTTGTACACAGCCTTTGCAAGGGTAGTCTTGCCAATCCCCGGCGTGCCATGTATCCCAAGTACACGTACATCTTTGTCATATACTCCAGTTGCCTGCTCATTGACATAGATGACACCAAGCTTTTTCATAACCTCCCGTACGCGGGGTTCCATGTCCACTAAACTGTCAGTCACATCTAAATCATTCTTCTTCAACCACTCTAGAATATCCGAAACAACTCTCTCTATGAGTGCACCATGACTGCCAAATGTGAAGATGAAAATAAGGAATCATGATGAGATTACAAAATAATTAATAACAGTCTACGAAAATTACGAAGGAAATTATCCAGTTAAACCGTACTAAATTGACCAACAAGGACGCTGCAGTGGGCAACAAGAAGGACACGGAAAGCACATTTACCTCATCATCAAAAAAAAATCCAGTCCCATCCAATTAATGATTTCAAAAACATTGTGCTTGGCAAAATTCTCATAAAGATAAAGCTAATAAAATTAAAAGGACAGTAAAAAGATGATTACCCAATTTCTGTATTCCGCAGATCATGACCCTTCGTCACAGTAATCTTTTCGAGAGCCTCCTTCCATTTTTTAATGACCTCGCGGTTAATTCCACGGCTCTCGTGCTTACTGAAGGACTCCCCAACACATCCACGTTGGTGTTTTAAATCAGCGGGGTCAATATCATAGAAAATGGGCACGATCAATTGACCGTCTACTTCGTTGCATTCCACCATTTTTGCCAATTCCATGAGACAACTCTTACTGGATGCATAATCCTTGGAGATAATTGTTGAAAATATGTCTCGAGTTTGAGCTCAAAGCGAAATCTAAATATTCCGAATTGAATATTTTGCGGATCTCCGAAATCGAGCAAAAGGAAATATTGGAAATTTGCTTTCCTAACGTGCAAGAGTCGGCAAGCAAATACGAAAGGAAAGCAAATCGTCCAAGGAAAGAAATAATAAAAAAAAGGAGATTACGTGAGTCAATTTCCTTGCTGAGTGCATTGAAGAGTCGGTCAAAGAAAGATAGAAAAGAGGAAAGTTGACTTTCGTTGACCGAATCCCACTTGATTATGTTTCCCTCTGCAGTACGCGTAGCGATTTGTTGCACTTCTTCAGACGGTGGATATATGAGCATGTTCATATATATTAGCGAGTTGCTCAGTTGGTCAATAGACAGAAGAAGTCATGAAGCGCCTAATGCGAGTGCTTGGTGTGCCGTGCAAGTGATCCAGAAGCTATTGTGCACGAAGAAGGAAGCGCCGCATTCGTGAGTGCTTGGCGGTGGGTGTTTCCGTGGATTCTCGTTCGTGAATTACATCCAAGAAGAATTAGTGTTCAAGCGTAAATCTTGTGATAAGATTTGTGTATAATTCCTTCGTGAGATTGAAAGATTATTTCGTGAGAAATTGGGGCTAAACACTGTGTGCGTTACTGGGTGTAATTGGGGCTTGGGAAACACCGAGAATGTTTGAGTGACTCGAGTGTGGTTGTAATCTCCGTTGTATCGCTTGATCTATAGTGGAATTCCGTGCTGCTCTCCCCGTGGACGTAGGTCACTACGACCGAACCACGTAAATCTGTTGTCCGATTTATTTTCTTATTCTGTCAATTTTATTGTTCGATCGCTTGGCTTCCGCAACAATAATAGGTATTGATATCTTGGATTGCTTTATGGATTGAACCAATGCATCAGGGATATTATCTCCAGGATGAAGTTCATTATCGTCTCTAAAGACAATGATCCTTGCATTAATCAGGCTGGTGTAGAGGCAATCTGCAAATCCCTTGGGAGTATCGGGACATCTAAAACTCAAGAACACTTCGTAATTGTTTCTTGATGAGGTAGAGATGGATGACGGCGACCGCGATGATGACGGAGGCAGCGAGGGCGGAGGCGGAGGCGGAGGCAGGGATGGAGGAGGCGGCCGCGGCGACGGAGAGGGCAGCGACAGCGGGGACGGAGAAGGCGGTGAAGAGACCAACCCCTGTAAAATGAAAAAGGCGAACTCTATCACAAGTTGCCACTTCGTTCTGGATAATTTCGGCAGAGTAACAAAAGCAAAAAGTGGAGGCATAAAGGCCTTGACTAGGATGTTCTGATCTGAGACAATGAAGTTGCTTTAGAAAGTACAAAAAAAAACCAAAAGAAAAGGAAAGAAAAAGAGTTGATCCCATCCGATCTAGGCTCATTGACGATGTTCTGAAAAGGATATGAGATCTAGCCGATTTGAATACCAAATCAAGATCAAGAAGTGTTATCCTTTATTGCAGTCCAAAGATAACGTTTGCACCGAAGATGCAGCTCTGAGCATACACCAGCTGAATCAACAGTCCTCATCCTCACACAGACATCACCCAAAAAATCAAAAGAACGAAAGAAACCCACAAACACGGGGAAGCGGAACTAACCAGCTTTCTCACAGACGAGCTGGGGGCCGTCGCCTCCCTCTCTCGCTCACTGTCGATGCTACGGCAAGAGATCTCTCGCTCCATTTGAATCACCTCCCGAAGTTGGATCTTAGAATATCAGATAAAAAATTGATCAGAAGTGAATGCCAGGGGAAGATGCAAGACTCGCCAAGTCAATGCCAGTGGAAGATGCAAGAGTTGAAAAGTCAAGCGAAAGGGGATTAAAAATGGATCAAAAAGATTAATTCCCTAAAAAAATCCTAAATTTTAGGTCTACTTTCAATTTTGTCCTGAAGTTTCTTTTTATTTAAAAGTCCTCAATTTTCACTATAATCTCATATATGTCCACACGAGACTGTTGTTGTTCTAGAGTATTGATGAAGACGCAACTCACAATAATAAATTTCTAACTGGCCTTGATATTAATAATTTTGAAGAAACTTGTTGCGATTTTTGGATCCGTGAGCAAATTCGGGATTAGAGTAAAAGCTTGAATTTTTTTTAAAAAAAATTCGAGATAAAATTAATATTTAACTTAAAGTTAGGATTTTTTTAGGAAATTAGCCTTTCGTTAAAAATTTGTATCAGGGGAGCGAGAAAGGTATGGTGGTAGAGAAAGTGGGTACGGAAAGCATAGAAAATGAGGTAATGGAAATTACCACACTAACCTCTATGATGAATGACCGAAAGTGGGGCAAAAGTCCCACGTCCATATTATACATAAAGTCTGATTTTAAATATATTGCCCGTCCTTTTCATTTTATAAAGTCCAATTTTAAAACGATCAAAATAGCTTTATTTTGGTAGTCACTTTCTCAACCACGTTCAATTCCATTAGCAGGCATTTTGACTGAAAAAAGAAGAAGAGAAAACTAAGGAAAAACATAGGAATTAAGGATCCGATCGTTTCGCGAAATATGTGACGTTTTCAAGAAGCTATCTTCAAGGAAAATGACATAAATTTCCAGTATTCGGCTGAAATCTAAAAAGGACCCGGAAAATATTTTCCTCTGTTTGGTATGGAATATATTTTCTTTAATGCACTACTTTTAATAAATTTTTTTATTTTTTAAAATTGATTTTTAATTATTTTTAATAACCTTTTTTATTTTTTATTTTTTACCTTCTTCTTCGACCGGTCGCCGGCCATGGCGAAAAAGTAAAAAAAAAAGAAGAAAAAAAAATAAATAATAATTAAAAATTAGAATTTTAATAAAAATTATTAAAATAATTAAAATGAATGGTGAAAGAAGGAGGGTAATAAGTTCCTCTTTTTAAAAAAAGAGAAAAACATTTCCCTCACTTTTGAAGGTGTTTTTTCCATTGAGGGAAAATATTTCCATAAATCGAACGTCGAAAAATCCGAAAAACATTTTTCTGGAAGTTATTTTTTGCGAAATGAACGGAGCTTAAAAGCATCATTTTCATTTTACCCTCACTAGCATTATTGTTTATCTACTGAAGTTGATGCGCAAATTTAAGTTTTCTTGATATTAGATCGTTTCTATGCACAACATGGACATTAAGATGCTGCTACATTAGAATGTATATAAAGCAAAATAATTCTACAGCATGATATTAATTGTCGTTTTCTCTTGCGCCCAGGTAACGTGTACATTTTTCTTGTGGATACTGATTTTCTTATTATTAACTTTTTGGTGTCCTTAAAAATTATGAATTTTCGTAAAATAAACTTAAAATACACCATTAACTACGATTATTTCAATAGTGCTGTTTAGTATTTTTATCTCAGTCCAAAACAAACTATCTTTTATTATTTTACATTTTTCTTCTAAGCTAAGCTATTACATGGTTCTCTTTCCTACAATTAATATGATAAAAAATATTAATTAAACCTTTAAATCAATCACGTTGAATATTTCGCCCCCTCCACTAAAATTCTAGCTCTATCACTGAGTACTGTCCATAGGGAAAATTGTCCTAGAAGTCCTAAAACTATTGCACTTTTACTAATTCAGTTTTAAACCTTTCAATTTTTTCGATTGGATTTTAAACATTTTCACATTTTGCCAATTGAGTCCATCCGGCCAATTTTGATCGTGACATAGAAGCCAGCCATCCTATGTGACCCAGTGGGCACTGATGTGGAATTTTTTTAATATTTTTTTAATATTATTTTCGAATTTATTTATGATGTTTTTCTTTTTTCTTTTTCTTTTTCTTTTCTTTCTTTTTTTTTCTTCCATTGGCAAGGGCCAGTGAGGTCGACCTCGCCTCTGGTTGGTCGTTGGCCATTGCTGAGGCCTGGTGACCGGCTAGATGAAGAAGGGAAGAAATAAATAAATAAATAAAAGATTAAATAAATTCGAAAAAATATTAAAATCGTATTAAAAATTATCCATGTCAGCACCTGTCGCACCACGTACGACGGCCAGTGTCCATGTTAGCAATTTCCTACCAAAATTGACCGGATGGACTCAATTGGCAAAACGTAAAAAGATTTAATACTCAATTAGCAAAATTGAAAGATTTAGAACTGGGTTGGAAAAAGCACCACATGTTTGGGACTTGCTGGATAATTTTCCCATTGTCCATAAGTACTTTATCACCTTCCACAGGTTAATAGTTTTTGATATCCATCTAAAGAAAATAATTAGTTTTGAGTATTTCATTAAAAAAAAAGAGAGGTTAATATCAGTAAAATCCCAAACTAGTACACCCCATAACACATTTACCCCAATCTCACAAAAAACCCCCCAAACTGGTATCCCTGACCCAAAATTATCCTCCTTTGAAATGCATATTTGTCAACACACATGAATTTTTATATGATCTATCGCGCTCCACGTTAGATCCGTATAGTAATTATTTGCCACATGTATTGAAAAATATGCTATTGAACGGAATGCCAATGGAAGGCAAAATTTGGTAAGGAGTACCCATTTGAAGTTTTTCGTAAGACAAAAATTAGATTTGGGTAATTGTATTGTGGGATATCAGTTTGGGATTTTTTATGAGCAAACATTAGTTTTGGGTAAATGTGTTATTAGGGTACCAAATTAAAATTTTTAGTGAGATGAAAATTAGTTTTTGGGGTACCAATTTGGAATTTCTAATAGTATTAATTGGGAAGCTAAACTAAGCTAAACCCAAGTGAGAGATCACCAAAAAGAAAACAAACATCAATTTTCGTTTGGTTTACAGATTTTCCAGTTTGATTTTTTTCTTTCTTTCCTTTTTTTCTTTTTGAAATCTTTAAAAACATCGATGTGGTATACCAAGATAGAAAGGCCCTTAGCTTGCATTACGATTCACCGGGTATCAATATGATTTTGTTTTGTTGATAGACCTTTTGCAATAACATTCAAATATGAAAAATTCATTTGTTTTCTCTTGCATCTAGTTATTATGTGAATATTAAATCCGGGGGTCACAAAAAGAAAAGAATACGGCTGCAACTTTTTGTGGCCAATGTTAATTTATAATTTGTCCTGACATCGCTAGTCATTTATGCATTAATTTATTGCTCCTCATTTCTCTTTTCTTTTCTTTTTTTTAATAACACGGGGTATTCAAATATTACGGTTTGACTAGTTCCTACGGATACAAACAATCCATACCGTCCTCGCCCTTTATTGTTTTACTATTTAATTGTCACTCATTTGTACTTAAAAAATAATTTTTTATTTTCGTATAATTACACAATTTACAATTTTATTTATATTAATCAGTAGACAGAAATTTCTATAAATTATATTTATCCATTTCAAAGATAGTATAACCTTACACCATCTTGGCGAGATCAGATGGGGGAATTCGATCTCAAAGACAGACTCGAAAGCCAAAAGTGACTCCACGGTGATGTCGTTCACGCAAGGTTTCGTCAATTGGGAGGAGACTCCGACCGTACATGTGTTCAAAGCCGACATTCTTGGAGTGAGCAAAGAGAAGGTGGAAAGGTCGAGCAGAGAAGGATTCTTCGGATCAATGGACAGAGAGCCGAGAGAGACACAACAGAGTGGCTCTGGAAGACGCACGTTTGACTTCTGCTCGTTACGGTGCCGGAGGAGGAGGTAAGGAGGGCCACGCGTGGTCATCCACGGCGTGTCGAACAAGAAAAAAAAGGCAATGGCTAATGATCCATTATCCCCATTTTTTTTTTTGACCTGTCCTTGTTCTATTCCTCCATAGTAATGAAAATGCAACAATGCAAATGATTTTCCTCCTCAAGTTTCATTTCCATTCGGTATCATTCTAATTCACCAAACATTGGCAAGAAAGAGAATGGGAAATTTGTCCAAAAAGTCCTAAAGCTATTGTACGGCAGCCAATTCAGTCCTAAACCTTTCAATTTTGCCAATTCAGTCCTAAATCTTTTAAAAAGTTACCAATTCAATCCTAAACCTTTCAATTGTGTCAATTTAGTTTTAAATTTATTAATTATTTGCCAATTTAGTCCTAAACCGTTTAACGAATTGCTAATTTAGTCATTCCGGCTAATTTTGGCTGAAAATCGCTGACGTGACGCTGACATGGATAATTTTTATATTTTTTATTGATTATTTCATTTTTAAAAAATTATCAATTCAATCCTAAAACTTTTAATTGTGCCAATTTAATTATAAACTTATTGACTATTTGTCAATTTAGTCATAAACCTTTTAACGAATTGCTAATTTAATCATTCCAGCTAATTTTGGTCGGAAATCACGACGTGGATAATTTTTTTATTTTTTTTAAAAAAATTCAAACTTTTTATTGATTATTTTATGTTTTATTGATTATTTTATTTTTATTCGAATTTTGGCCAGGGACCCCTGCCGGACCCTGGGCAAGGGCGTCGCCAGCCCTCGCCCAAGCCCTCGCCAACCATAGCGAGGGTGGGCGAGGGCTGCGATGCCCTCACTGTGGTTGGCGAGGGCTCGCGATGCCCTCTCCTAGATCCGGCAAGGGCTGCGATGCCCTTGCCCACGGCTGGCGAGGGCTTTACAGCCCTCATCTTGGGGCCGGCGGGGGTCGCCAACCCTTGCCTAGTGGCCGACCAACTCCGCCAGCAGTCGCCGGCTCAACCAAGAAGAAAGTAAAACAAAAAATGAAAAGAAAAGAAAAGAATAAAAATAAAAAGAAAGAAAAGAAAAGAAAAGAATAAAAATAAAATAATCAATAAAAAATAGATTTTTTAAAAAAAATTATCCACGTCAGCGCCATGTAGAACGGCCGGCGCCAACTAGACCGCTACGTCATCAATTTCTGACCAAAATTAGCCGAAAAGACTA